TTTAATTTATTTTTAATTTTATTTGTTGCGCTGCTGATGACGTCACGTACGCGCTTTCGTCGGGCGCGCTTTAGTCAACCGCGGTTTTGACGGGTCACGGGTGGGGGCAACCTTGGAATTCTTCCTTGTTCTCTTCTGCCTTGTCCGAAGGTGTGCGTGTTTGATCCTCCTTCTTTGCACAATGAGTAATAGATAACTAGTTGATTCCCTCCCTTTGGAAATGCCTTTCTTTATAGGGAGAGGAGAAGTTACCTTAACAATCATGTAAAAGTACTGCCTGGGTTTTCCTAAAACACCACCACTCCTCTTTAGAAAAAGAACGATTTACTGTAAGATTGCAATCCTTAATATTCTGAGCAAAACGCGTGATTGAAGTCTCCCTTGTCACGTTGGCAGCTTTTTGGAGGCAGTGATCGTTTCCCGGCGAGGTAGATTGTTTGTTAGTTTTCAGTTCACATCGCTGCTTCTCTTTTGAAATGTATGTTATTAGCACAGCTGGAGCCCGTTTCTTATATGTCATGAACCCACTTTTGACATATCTCCCTAACAACTATTTTGGGATGCTGTATGGCTAGAGCCATTGCCAACCTTGAGGGGGAGAAGAAGCAAGGGAAATTCGCGGAGAAGCAGAACACATTAAGAATTTATTAAAAGGATCTCACTGATAAAAGCTGCACCCACCGTTTTGCTAGGAGCCCAAACAGGGGAAAAACCAACAACAACAACAGCAACAACAAAGATTTCACCGTTATATTTTTGTAAATGTGCACGAATGCCAATCTAAGAAGATCTGCTCTTTCAGCACTTCGTTAAACAGCTTGTTTCTTTCTTCATAATCACCCAGCATAATGCCTTCCCCTTCAGTCTGTTTCAAGGGGTTTTGCCAGAGTTCTATTTTAGAAAGCGTCTCTGAAATGTATTATCCGTACATATTTTTAAAAAAGGTAGAATTAGTGTGAAATCTTGACGCTGAAAAAAAGTCAACTCGTACCGTATATTGCCTCAAAGCTCTCTTTTCTTCTGTTCGTTCTTGCCCCCAAAACTTACTTTTGCTATCGTATCAGGGATGAAAAAATTCAGCCCATGACTCCAGAGACATATAGAAAACTCTAACTCTATTCCTTCCACTAATGGTCATCAGGATTTTCAGCCTAAAGTGACCAGCTGTATTCTACAGTACTGAGAAAGCTATAAATCAAATATAAAAGAACTGAAATAAACAAGAGAAGTAAAGTACACACAATGAATTCCCTTCTCACCAGTTCACATTTTGTGCTCATGTCCTCAGCGTTAGTTCTTTCTTGATAGCTTTTACCCTTCTTCTCCCTCTCCCTCTTCCTTCTCTTTCTTCCCTATTAGGGTTCATATGGACTGTTTCCTTAGCCAGTATGTCAACACATGCTCGAATTCACTTGTAGAAAAGCAGCTTCTCCTTTTGTTTGGGTCTTGTATGGTGAGCGTCCTTCCACATCAATAAGCAGTGGCTTCCCTCACAGTGGGAACTTTCCAGTAATTGCCAGAACAAATTAAATTGAAGCTTATCTGTTCTTCCCCCTCTTTCACTTAGAAAATGAAGGGAACTGAAGAACAAGACCAATTTTAAACTGGTGACAAAATAGTCACAGAAAGAGATTAGATACAGTTAGTGCAAAGTCATGTTACGGACATGTTCTGTTGCTTTTCAAAGGAGAAATGCATATTATGTCATCAACATTTTGGAATGGTTTCCTCAAGTCGGAAAAAAAAAAGCCAAATTATTTTTTTTAGGTGCCATGTTTTCCCGAAAATATAACCTGTCCTGAAACTAA